GCAAATATGTATTTGTTTTTCTTCTCTCACGTTCTTTTTTTTTTAAATTTTTTTTTTTAATGTTTATTTATTTTTGAGAGAGACAGAGACAGAATGCGAGTGGGTTGGGACAGAGAGAGAGGGAGACACAGAATCTGAAACAGGCTCCAGGCTCTGAGCTGTCAGCACAGAGCCCAACGCAGGGCTCAAACTCACAAGCTGCAAGATCATGACCTGAGCTGAAGTCGGACGCTCAACCGACTGCGCCACCCGGGCGCCCCCTTCTCTTACATTCTTATGAGGCACCACCGTGGAACAAGACGGGAGAAAAGTGGCAGCGTGTGTATGGATGGGACAAACAGTTAGGCAGAGCCACATATATGACAGGCTGGAGTGCTGCTTGTCAGGAGGGATAGTATTCTCTTACCAGCTAGCTGGTCACTTAGCCCTAGAACCGGAGGCAGAGGCAAGCTTTCTCAGCTGTCCAGGACCTCCTATTACTTTCAAACTGGGGACTGGATTTTCTGCTTTTACCGGACACTCAAGAACTATTTTTGAAATGGTTCATTTTCTCGTACAGTCCTTAAGATCACACACACAAATAATTGGCTTAACTATTAGAAATTTGCTTTTTACTATTGGAATGCTAGGATCTTTTGATATTTGAGAGCTAGCAGTTTGCTGTGTCTTGTTTGAGATTAGAAAGCCTCCTCCCCCAAGGCTGGAGTGTTTCTGTGAAGCTACCCTTCACGTCACTCTTTTATTCTACCCTCCTCCACCCTGTCCACAGAGCTCAGAGTTGGGTTTTGGGAGAAAAACAAACTTCATAGGTGATTTAAATAAAGCCACCGAGGTATACATGGCTCAGAGCTCTTCACCTGCTCTACTTTGATTGGAATATGATGGTTGCCTACTAGAGAATACATTATGCTGGCCTACATTTCAGCACTACATATTTAGTAGTAAACTAGTAGACTGAAATTAAGCCAGTGGCTTCATCTGCTTTGGACCTGTGTCTGGTTCTCCATATATGAAAACTAAACACATAACAAGATTATGAAGAAGAGAAAACAGTAGCCTCTTTATACATACTGTGGTACATGTGATCCTATTAATTAATGCTTATTTGTATTATATAGGTATATATAATAGATATATTTTATAAACAAATTATACATGTTTTAAATAACTAATAATATGTTAAGAGCATGGGTTCTGGTTCTTGCCTTTGCCACTTATTAGCTTTGTGATGTTGGGCAAATTGGCTGAGTCCTGTGCTGCATTTTACTTACTATAAAATAGAACTGCTCTTAATACCAGCTTCATGGGTGCTGTAAGGATCAGAAGAGTTAATACATATAACATGCTTAAAACAGGTCACATAGTAAGTGCACAGTGTTAGGTTAAACCATGTGAAATTGCCAATATTTGTTGTTTTTTGACTTACCCCAAAATGACAATTTTATATACTTAAATGCAATAGCAATATGTACTAATTTTTAAAACATACTTGTTGAACAATCAGAATCACATATTATGGATGCAGTTTACTGTCTAAAATCCATTGAATCAATATTGATGAGGGTAGGGCCTGGGAAACTAAATGGAAACCAACAATAATCTCTCCGAGTGACTAAGATGAGCTGGCAAGTTTAGGAATTCTTGATTTACAGTATTGCTCAGGAGATTTTTTTTTATACTGTGAAGAGAATAACATTGATAGTGAAGAGAATGAATCTGCAGAGGAATTTTGCCTCGGAATAAATCAGAACTCATGTCTCACTTCTGTCTGATTTAGGTGATATTTAGATTGGATGTTAGACTGTAGAGTTGATGCTGGAATGAATTAAGACTTTTGGGACTGGTGTATTTTAGGATGAATGTATTTTGTGTAAGAGAAGGGCATAGACTTTCATGGGGCAGGGAGCAGAATGTGTCCCTCCCAGAATTCCTAAGCCCTAACCCCCAGTGGGATTGTATTTGGGAGATCATCAGGTTTTTCTGCGGCCATGAAGGTGGGCCCCCAGTGATGGTGTTAGTGCCCTTGTAAGCAGAGACATTTAGCTTGCTCTCTTGAGCAAGCAAACTCTCTTGAGCTCTCTTGAGATTGTCTCAAGTGCAAGTGATTTTTTTCTTCAGCTGTATCTGATCTACTCAGGAGTCCATCAGAGACATTCTTCATTTTGTTACAATGTTTTTCTTTATATTTTAAAAAATGTTTATTTATTTTTGAGAGGGAGAGACAGAGCACAGTATACTCTCCTGCACTTGAACTGGGAAGGGGCACAGAGAGAGGGAGACAAAAGATCCCAAACGGGTCCTGTACTGACAGCACAGAGGTCGATGCAGGGCTTGAACTCACGAACCATGACCTAAGCTGAAGTCAAATGCTTAACTGACTGAGCCACCCAGGTACCCCTGTTACAGTTTTTTTTTTTTTTTTTAATCTCTAGCATTTCTTTTTGTTTTTTTTAAAAAAAATTTTTTTTAACATTTATTTATTTTTGAGACAGAGAGAGACAGAGCATGAACAGGGGAGGGGCAGAGAGAGAGGGAGACACAGAATCTGAAACAGGCTCCAGGCTCTGAGCTGTCAGCACAGAGCCGGACGTAGGGCTTGAACTCACGGACTGTGAGATCATGACCTGAGCCGAAGTCGGCCGCTTAACCGACTGAGCCACCCAGGCGCCCCTGTAGCATTTCTTTTTGATTCTTTCTTAGAATTTCTATTTCTCTGCTTATATAACCCATCTGTTCTTCCATGTTGTCAGCTTTGTTCAGTTGTTTGGAATTCCTGGTCTGTTAATTCCAGCTTTCGTGCCATATTTGGCTATCATTCTCATGCTTGCAGTTTCTTCAAACTATGTCTTTTACTTTTTAGTATGCCTTGTAGTTTTTTCCTAATAGCCTATCATGATGTACTAGGTAAATGGAACTGTATTAAATAGACCTTTAGTAATGTGGCAGTGAGATGTTGGGGCAGTGCAGTGTTCTGCAGTTCTACGATCATGTCTTCTTTTAAAAGTGAGCCTGTGCCCTGGACTGTGAATATCACAAGTGCTTCTCAGTTTGCTCTTCCCCTTGGGTGGGACAGTATAACTAGAGGTAGCTGGAGTCACTTGTTTCCTTTCCTTGAGGTCAACTGGGCTCTGATAATATCCCAGAAGACTTGGATCTGGTAAAGCACTTTCTTTTGAGGTCAGACCTTGTTAAGAAGAACAGAGTGCTCTGATGTATTGCAAATGTTTACTTTCTCCCCACTGCCTGCAGAAGGGCAAGGGGATTTTTCTGATTGTCCCTTTGAATACTGGGTAGAACCCTTGGAGCTGAAATTCATTTAGGTGTGAGGCCCATCCTATGTCTTGGTCCCCCTGGAGTTTTTAAATTAAAAAAAATTTTTTTTTAATGTTTATTTATTTTTGAGAGAACACAAGCAGGGGAGGGGCAGAGAGAGAGAGAGGGGGAGGCACAGAATCCGAAACAGGTTCCAGGCTCTGAGCTGTCAGCATAGAGCCCTACATGGGGCTCAAACCATGAACCGTGAGATTGTGACCTGAGCCGAAGTCAGACGCCCAACGAACTGAGCCACCCAGGTGCCCCCCCCCCCCCCCCCCCCCCGGAGTTTTAACACTCAGACTCTTCCCTCCTGAGTTTCTAGTGACTTGCCAGTTATATAGTTTGGGTTTTCCTATCCCTGCACTGGTTCTAGCAGAGTGTCTTTCTGTGGTTCTTGTGGAGATTTCTGCTCTGGTGAGTTGTGGTTCTCGGTGTCCAACCTATCTGTCAACAGTTTGGGAGCAGCAGTTAGTCCTTTAAGCTCACTTCTCTGATGGAGCTTCTAGGAAGCGTTGATTTTTCAGTCTGGTCAGCTTTTTATTTGTTGTTAGATGGAGGTGGAGTGATGACTTCCAAGCTCCTCACCTGTAAACCTGGAAACTGGAATTCTCCCTTTATCCGTCTTTGCTTCCCCAAAGAACTTAACCCATTGCCTGTTTTATCTTCTAACATGCTCTTTCGTTTTTCTTCCTGGGTGCTCTTGCTGAGGTTGCCGCGAGTTCTTCGTTTCCTGGATATCTATACCTGAACTCCTACTGTCTCTTCCTCTTTAAACCGAATCCTTTTTAGTAAGGCCCCTTCACTAAGCTGAATTTGCGCTGATAGCAAATTAGCTACTATTAAGGTACCATTCTATTTAGTCACATTTTTTTTTCCTTTGAAAGATCATTTTACATTGCCTTAGATGTGAAGAATTTAGTTAATGCCAATTTCCTGCTTAAATCCTTAGGATTTATTACAATGAATTGCACTGAAATTGCCTCATTACTTTGTTAGCTCCTTAAGGTCAAGAACCTTTCCTTGTATATTCTTTTCTTAGTGCTTGCCATGAAATGCTTGTTATTTGTGAGATGATTGACATCATGTATAGAGTTAGGATGTAGAAATCCCTATTTGATAACCTAGGTGTATTTTTTTTTATAAAAAACATTAAAAAACATTTTTTTTTAAGAGGGAGAGAGCTCAAGCAGGAGAGAGTGCTGAAGGGAGAGAGAGGAGAGAGAGAACCTTTAGCAGGCTGCATGGAGCCTGGCGCAGGACTAGATCCCACGACCCTAGTATCATGACCTGAGCCAAAATCAAGAGTCCAATGTTCATATGACTGAGCCAAACAGGCTTAAAATGTTTACATATCTTATTTCAAAATTTATATTTCAGAACATTAGACATAGGGATATCTGACATATTTAGACAGTATCCATTCCAGGTCTTACATGGAATTGTGATATCCTAGGGACTCATGATTATTATTATTTGATATTTTTCCCTCTCCTAAAAATGCTGTTTCATCACATTTGCAAGTATGCTCAGGTAGAGTAGAAGTGTTAGAATTTTGAAATTATAGTGATAGTATTTTAGATGATGGAAATATTCTAGGACTTAAGTCAGATTTTGTTAGAAGTCAAATTACTATATTATTAATATAGCCTAACTAATTTATTATGTTGCATTTGTTTTTTTTTCAGACTGTTCTCTCTGTATAAGAAAATTTCTATCGTATAAAACACAATGTCCAACTTGTTGTGTGGTAAGTTTTCCTTTCCTGTTTTTTCTTGGAAACTTAATTGGTACAAATATTTCTGTGTGACATACACACAAAAGCCCAAGGGAAAAGGTATAATTATTCAGTTAGGCTACATAAAGGACATTTTCAGAAAGGCCTCTAAAATACATATATGGATGCTGGGAGAACTGGACAGCAACATGCAGAAGGATGAAACTAGACCACTTTCTTACACCATTCACAAAAAAAACTCAAAATGGATAAAGGACCTGAATGTGAGACAGGAAACCATCAAAACCCTAGAGGAGAAAGCAGGAAAAAACCTCCCTGACCTTAGCTACAGCAGTTTCTTACTTAACACATCCTCAAGGGCAAGGGAATTAAAAGCAAAAGTGAACTATTGGGACCTCATGAAGATAAAATGCTTCTGCACAGCAAAGGAAACAACCAACATAACTAAAAGGCAACAATGGAATGGGAAAAGATATTTGCAAATGACATATCAGACAAAGGGCTAGTATCCAAAGTCTATAAAGAGCTCACCAAACTCCACACCCAAAAAACAAATAATCCAGTGAAGAAATGGGTAGAAAACATGAATAGACACTTCTCTAAAGAAGACATCCAGGTGGCCAACAGGCACATGAAAAGATGCTCAATGTCTCTCCTCATCAGGGAAATACAAATCAAAACCACACTCAGATATCACCTCACGCCAGTCAGAGTGC